GCCTACAATTCAAACGTTTAGAACCGCTATAAGGTCGTCAGGAAGGTGGCGACCCTAAGCAAGGCAGCACAAAATTATATGTACATGGGCACAAAGATCAATTCGGAAGTCTACATTCTAATACTACGGTGTGTTGACTTATCGCCTTTGGCTTACACCAAATAAACTGGCCAGACTGTATTCAGTAACAATGCTTGCTATGCTTTCCCATGGACGATTTGGATCTCTGTAATAAGTACCAATGAGAGAGATATTTGTTTGAAAAAAAAATACATGATTAGGAGGAAAAAAAGTTGTTTGAAAAAGTCACGATCAAAGGCAAACTACTAACCGAACTTTCGGGATGGCATTGAGGATGAACTTTTCGATTGGACCACCACTACCAGTTTGACCTCGGAAACCACGATTCTCACTTCCTGGCACCCAGATTGACGGTGGCGGTTTCGGCAGAGGTTTACCAGAATCTGGATAATCAACATAGAACATGAGTAATGGTAAAAGTATAAGCTCTACCTACCTTGAATGTATCGAAGACTGAATCCTGTCTCATAATCTAGTTCTGTAGAATCGGCTATGATTAAAACTTCGGCTTGTTCAGATGTCACTTCGATCTCGTTTTCTTTGCAGCTAAATAATAAGCATAGTTTTTAACTTGTAATTATTCCATTTATTTAACCCAAAAGCTTGTGATGAAAGAAAGTGAAATTCGCTATATATTCTGAGAAGAGATATTTCGCAGCAGTTCAGCATAAAGAGTAGCATCAATTTTTCAGGAAGGCTTGAAGATATGGAAGGCGTTTCACAGGGCCTTTACTTTTCTGGCATCTAACATCGATGAAGTTGTTTCCATGTACAAATGCTTAGCATGTAGATGGTGAATCATATTCTCTCATTGCAACAGTTGAAGTATTCATTAAAGCTGAGCTTGGCGCAGGGACGACAATATAACCGGCGAGTTGCGCAATTCTTTTGGGAAAATACGACCCATCCGCCGTATAAGTTCACACAAGAGATTTCCCATCTCCTGCAGTTATGTACATAGTAAGTCAGGTACAAAACGTTCCCAACCGGGCATTTTCTTAATGCTACAAGGTAGAATTTAAAAATTACTATTTCTTGTAAAGAAATTCTCCACAAACTTCTTTTTATACTTTAGTTTTTCAGAGTAAAAGCCATACACAGTTCGTGTTCTACTGCTGCAGAATTGGATGTGGTGTCTGCTATGCCTTATCTTTATCTTTTTTTTTCTGACTTTAACAGGTTCACATCTATCCAAGGATATAACAATCTAACTCATCTATTCCAAGATAGTACTAAACATGTTCTTGAAAATTTCAAAAAAACGAGCTTGCGGTAGTTTTAGATTCTTTCTTGCACTATAATATATTAGAACGCAGGGAAGTGGCTAAGCCGATAAATTTAAATGCATCAAACAGCCTTATTGGATAGTTTAGGAAAAAGCAAAGTTTTGATTTCAGCAAAAATTCTTTAAAAAATGGTATTGCCCCATGGGAATGTGTTTGTGAATGACTTT